AATTTTAAATAACAAAGGGGGTCGTGTGACACCTTGTTAGAAAGGGATTTTAGTCCTCTGTTCAGTAATATAAAGTTTTTTAAGTTTGGTGCAATCATAACTGAGAAAAGCGATTTATTAGAAATTCTGATGATGTCTATCACAAAACTTTAGGTTGAATGGCGATAATAATGTCACATAATATTTAGAATATATTTTTCAATGTACTTTGCAATTAAATTAAATGTCCACCATTCACTTCTTGACAATAACCGAGGCGATTTTAGAAATTCAAAATAGCAGAATTAAACAGAAGTTTCGTTTTACTGGACATGTAAAAAATATTGAAAAACCAGGTAGAAATGTTAAATTTACTGACAAAAAAAGTTAGATGTACTTCTAGAGATCGAGGAAAATCCACCATAAGACAACTCGAGAACTTGCCGCCGTCAATGATGTAAGTAAATCATCTATTTTGAGAGTTTTGCATAAAGAAAAATACCACCTTTACAAAGTTAAGTTAATTCAGAAGTTAAATGAAGATGATCCAGACAGAAGGCAAGAATTCTATGAAATGATGATGGACATAATGAACGCAGATTTGAGGTTCATAACCAAAATAGTTTTTTCTGATGAAGCGTCGTTTCATTTAAACGGAACAGTTAACAAATAGAACTGCAGATATTGGAGCAGATAAAATCCTCCCTAGTGTGTGAGACTCACACGCAATATCCTAAAAAAGTTAACGTTTGTGCTGGTATCATTAACAATAAAATTATTTGTCTTTTTTTTGAGGGCACAGTTGATGATGAGGTTTATCTAGATTTTTTGATTAACTTTTTAGTGCATACATTACGAAAATTTTTTCCTGATGTTAATCATCTAAATGAGATAAATCGATCTATTTACTACTAACAAGATGAAACTCAACCGCATTTGAGTTTCATCTTGTTAGTAGTAAATAGATCATTCTCAGTTAATATTGCACCAAACTTAAAAAACTTAATATTGCTGAACAGAAGACTAAAATACCTTTCTAACAAGATATCACACGACCCCCTTTGTTATTTAAAATTTTCGAAGGGGTGCTCATAATTTAAAGGGGGTGCTGGAGGGGGATAATATTTTAATACCAAAAATTGTCAATTTAAGAATAAAAATCGACCTGTTTCAGGTTTTTTTCACATAGTACATAATAACTAACAAAAAAACTTAAACACAACGATCAAATGAATATGCCAATCAGGAAACAAAATGGCAGTTGGGCTAAAACTGACATAGATAAAGCATATACGTTTGCAAATCATCTATGCGAGGTATTTCAACCGCATCAGAGGGAAGTCTCAGTTAAAGAAAAGCAGGGTATTCATGAAGTCGTAAATGCACCATATCAAATGCCTCCACCTATTAAATCTATTAGGAAATCGGAGGTCAAAGAAATAATTAATAATCTGGAAAATAAAAAGTCACCTGGATATGACTTAATATCTAGTTTAGTACTAAAAAATCTACCCAACGAAGGCGTAAGTTTAAGTACTTACATATTTAATTCAATATTAAAAACAGGTTATTTTCCACTCCAATGGAAAGTTGCTCAAATTAGTCTTATTATAAAACCTAATAAAGATCACACGGAAATATCTTCATATCGCCCAATGAGCTTGTTGCCTATTATATCCAAAGTATTTGAAAGGCTTTTTCTGAGAAGACTGGAGATTATTTTATATGACAGTAATGTTTTACCGAATTATCAATTTGGGTTTAGGAAACAACATGGTACTATCGAGCAAATTCATAGGGTGGTAAAGACTATCAGAAATTCGCTCGAACAAAAAAATTACTGTACTGCTGCATTTCTAAATGTCTCTCAAGCATTCGACAAAGTTTGGCATGTAGGTCTTATCTCTAAAATTAAATCCATATTTCCTCATCCCATAAGCTCAGTATGTTCCTACCTGACAGATCGATTCTTTCAAGTCAAAAGAGGTGGGGAAATCACTAACCTGTTTCCAATTTGTTCCGGAGTTCCACAAGGAAGCATACTAGGACCCACTCTCTTAATATACACATCAGATCTCCCAACGACGACCAATACAACAATCGCTACATATGCTGATGACACAGTTATCATGGCTTCAAATTCTACAGCAACTGAAGCATCCCAGGTATTACAAAACCACCTACTTAAACTAGAGAGCTGACTTAAACTGTGGCGAGTCCAAGTTAACAGTTTAAAATCAACACAAATAACGGTTACTTTAAAAAAAGATGTCGCGCCACCAGTTTCTATAAACAACACTCCACTACCAGTTAATACCGTCGTTAAATACTTAGGAATTCATTTGGATAGAAAACTTAATTGGGGTATTCACATCTGCAAGAAACGCCTTCAACTCAGCTTAATCTACAGGAAAATGTATTGGTACATGAGTCGAAAATCTAATCCAAGCCTGGAGAACAAACTTCTAATATATAAATGTATTTTAAAACCGGTATGAAAGTAATACCAACATAAAAAAACTCCAACGATTCCAATCGAAAGTACTGCGCCAGATCTGCAATGCCCCTTGGTACATTACGAACTACAGATTACACCACGATTTACAGTTACCAACAGTTAGCGAAGCAACATCTGTCGTAAATGCTGTATACAAGACCAGACTATCCTGCCATCCAAATCCGCTGGCCACGGATTTGCTCAACATTTCACACGAAAGAAGATTAAAACGACCAGACCCTTTGGACCTCTAGTAAACATGGAGAAATAGAGTATAGTGTCATAGTGCGGTGAAATAACAAGTTTTTATTCTGGTGTTTTCTAAATCTTTTCTTGATTTTTTTTTCTTTCTTTTCATTTTTTAGTCTTGCAATACTTATATGTGTGTCAGTGATGTTTATCTGTATTAAACTTTGTTTGTTAAGTTGAAGTTTAAATTAATTGTTATATCATATATTATATTTATATTATGTCTTACCTGGGTGCTTGCCACTGGGCGGCGTCCCACTATGTTATTGTACATAAATTATACATATTGCTTATTGTTTGTAATGAGACAGATTGCAATACATTGGATGTTAAAAAAAAGTACATAATAACGCTAAAAATGAGTTTATCCCATACAAATGGACCACATGGTATACTGAATAAGTAAACCCATGTCTTTCTTTGACCCTAACTATTTACATAATGCTTTAAAGTAGGTAATATCATATTGGGCCAAAGTAACTCTAACATAAGATTAACATTGGCCCAGGTAAAAAATTTAAAGAAGTTATATATTTTTTGAAGCTATATCATTGTTGAAAAATGGACGTGCTCCGGGCCCAGAGGGGATATATGCAGAGTTAATAAAAAATGGAACCAACAAACTATTCGAGATACTAACAGAAGTTTTCAATAGGCACTTGCACGGAGAACCAGTGCCACAAAGTTGGAAAGAAGGATGGATTACATCTATCCACAAAAAAGGAAATAAGGAAGATTGCAATAACTATCGGGGTATAACTGTTACGAGTACGCTTAGCAGATTATATGGGAGAATTATAAAAGAACGCATATGCGAAGAATACCGTCCTTTTGAATCAGAAGAACAAAACGGATTCAGAGCGGGACGATCCACAATAGATAGTATTTTTTGCTTATCCCAAATACTCGAGAAAAGAACACTGAGATCTCGAGAAGTGCATTTACTTTTAGTCGATTTAACAAAAGCATATGACACCGTGCCTGTTGCGAAATTGTGGGAAGTATTGGAGAAAACCAGTATCAGCGTTTCACTAATCGACGCTATTAAAGATCTATACAACAACACAATATCAAAAGTTAAAATAGGAAATAAGGTTACTAATGGTTTTCAGGTAACAAAAGGACTGAAGCAAGGTTGTTGTTTATCTCCCATACTATTTAATATATATATCGACGAAGCACTGAGGCAATGGAAAAAGAAGTGTAAAGGGATGGGGCTGTCTATTGGGGATGAAACGTTATACACGCTGCATTATGCAGATGACCAGGTAGTTATTGCCCAAGACAAGGAAGACCTAGAGTATATGGCTAGAAAACTAATGGAAGAGTACAAAAAATGGGGCCTCGAAGTAAATTTACAAAAAACGCAATATCTTTGCATAGGAGGAGAAAATACTGCAGATGACCTCGACTTAGAAGACGGGAAAATTAAGAAATGCGATCAATGTATATATTTGGGGGTAAAACTAACAAAGACAGGAAGAACTGATGAAGCCATAAAAGACAGAATAACCAAAGGGAAACGAGTTATAGGTGCATTGAATTCAGTACTATGGCAGAAAAATATAAGACCGGAAACGAAAAAAAGAATATATAACACAATATTGAAACCAGTAATCGTGTATGGCTCAGAAGTATGGCAGTTATCACAAAAACTTAAAGGTAACCTCTTGGCAGTTGAAATGGATTTTTGGAGGAGAGCAGCGGGAAAGTCTCGATTAGAACATGTGAGAAATGAGGACATAAGAAATCAAATGAATGTACAAAGATCAATTATAGAAGACATCGAAAAACAACAACTGACATGGTACGGACATGTTAGACGTATGGGGGAAGAAAGACTACCAAAAAAAATATTAGAATGGGTACCACCAGAGAAAAGAAAACGAGGACGACCACCAACAACATGGATGCAAGGAATTTCAAAAGCCATGTCAGCAAGAAATCTATTTGAAGAAGACTGGCAGAATAGACAGGCTTGGCGAACGGGAACCCAAAGGCGGATTACGCTATAAACGGGATATATATATATATTTTTTAAAAAACACTAAAATGCTTTATGCATGTTATTTAAGATATCAAAGTAGCCCGAGTTTGCGGTACTACAAAAAAGTAGCTTTCAAAAAATTTATATTATCACTTCGATAAGCAATATACAATGGCAAATACTCAAAGATATAATCAAGGTAATGAGAGCCTTAAAAGCCTATCCCAATTACAATCTAATCTATATATTCGAGTAACTATGTATACGAAATTTGAAATAAATACTTACGCAGTTAAAAACACTCTGGTAGTATTCCTTCAACTCCTCATCGCTTAAAATTTTCGAATTTCGAAAAATTTCTATCGGTTGCTCCATTATGTTCTTTTCTTGCTCCTGGTCTCCCCACGAATTCAACCAAGCACGAAACACTCCCATTCTAGTACATTAAAAATATCATCAGGAAAAGAAGTTAACTTTGTGATTAACACCAGCACTGATTAGTTAACCAAATATTCCTTTATTTGTTGTGAACAATTGCGTATGATAGGTACCTGGTAAGCCCAGTTCCTTGGTTGTGGTTTGAGATGTGGCGATTATTACCGGTTGAGTCAGACTTTGATACGAGTTAAATAAGTTTGAAAAAATTAATAGTTTAAATAACATTGACATAATTTTTAATTATGATGAAGAATTAGTTTTTAGAGCCATAAGCTTTATTCCTTTTGGCAAAAACTTTAAAATTATGCTACAAAATATATAAATACTATAAATACGTTTGTTTATACAGTGTGACCCATTTAGATTAGAAACACCTCTATAAAATTTGAAATTATTAACCGATTTTAACCAATTTTTTTTTAATGTCATGTAATAAAAGGTCTATTGCGGGACAAAATATGAAATATTTAGTTGAATTTTCAGGGCATTCTACGATACTTTTTCTTCGTCGAAAATGGAAAATTTGTATTAGCGATTTTTTTAATAAAAAAATTTCTGCGTCACTGGATTTAGAGTGACTTCAAATAGCTATGACAAAAATTTCATTAAAATATATTTATTAATAACGAAGTTATGACAACTTAAAATTTTAAAACTCACTAAGCTACAAGTCAAAAAAGAACACCCTGTATCAACAGATAACCATAAAACTAATTATTTTTAAAATAATTTTAATAATAAACCACTACTATGGTCTGTTTTTTAACCAGGAGGAGTAATTCAAATTTTCCGCGCCATAATACTTGTTTGTAATTGGTCCAAGCGCAGGCAAGTTTACTCCACTAAATTATGACATATTGACACTAATGACATTTGTGAAATTTTAAAATTAAAAATTTATATCGACGATTTTTTTGTATTTTCTGCGTTATTCCTTACACTTTTAGATTTTTCGTTTGCATTTATATAAAAAGCAGTTCTTTTCAGAATTATTTAGCAACATATTAGTGTCATTAAGATAACAATATGGATTCAATGCCAAGTACTAGTGGTAATTATATACGATTATTGACTTATTGTCTATATTATGAATGTCTTACCATAGTTATTTTTTAGGTGAAATTATTCAAAGAATGGTTTATACATGGGCTGCTGACCAAAAACAAAACTTTCTTACTCAAATATCTAAAATAGATTCAGTTTTTGCTAAAAAACTAAATGAAGAAATTCAAAATGGTGTAGTTGTGCACGAACCTCGCCAAGACATAACTAGGGAGGATATTTTGGAAGACTAATAAAATTATTAAATTTTTATTTTTATATACATCCCGAATATATATTATCCACTGAATATTATTTTCCTCTAATATATAAATCGATTTCTGACTGTTTAAGTTGTTTTTGTAATAACTTGAACTAGGTGATATTCGAATAGTATTTAATGTGATATTTTCTAGATTATATTTATACTAAATATAGTTTAAAGTGTTTATAAATTTATAAATCTATGTTATTTATATCTAATTATCCTAAGAAAAACGGCAAGTATCTTTTAATTTTAGTGTATATTTGTTAAGAAGCATTTTCATTTTGTTTTCATCAAAATAAAAGAACATTATTAAAGTAATGTTGTGTCTTAGTTTGATTGTATTGATACCGTTGGTTTTGTTCTTCCTGGTTGTAGATCATCACAAGAATATTGCAAAATTATCCTGGAATGTAATATAATAGATCGAATTTGTTGATTATCTCACAGAAATCCAGTATTTTTTAGTAAATTTTATTTATTGATAACAAATGGGACAAACTCACTGTCAAAATTAAACAAGAATCCAGCATTAAAGAAATTGTAAGTACACACTTATTTATACAAAGTATCTTTTTGCATTTTAGTGCTTCAAATAGAACCTTAAGATATTGATACATAAGTTAAACAAATCTATCTAATGAGGTAACTAATTACATGCATGAAAAGTAGGACCACACCTATATGTGAACCATAATTTATTCTGTGATGGGAAACATGAAAAAGTGAATTCTAAAGCAGTGAACGGGAAGGACTATGTAAAACAAAGTGGCTGAAGCAATTCAAGAGATTGGATTATTAAGCTTAAAAATAATGATCAAAGTCAAAGTTAGCTCTTCTGGTAAAAAAAACTAGATTCAAGAAATTCATTATACCAGTATAAGAATATGGTCTACGCAGTTTAAAAGAACAGTATTTCAGAAATCTTTGAACTCTCTATAACTTTTTGATACATGCATTTGTATAGCTTTGTTGCATATAAGATCTATTTGCAAATTAAAAGACAAATTTTTGTGAAAAAACCATGACAACGTTATTACTGTTTGACATTATTTGTGTCATACAAATTTCAGAGCTAAGCATAAATTTATGCATAATATCTGCAACAATATTTACTTCAAATTATTTTAATAATATTTTGTCTCATGGCTGCAAGATTAAGTTTTAGAGAAAAAATTGAAATTATACGTCGTTTGGGAGATAACGATAGAAGTGCCAGGGAAGTTTGTACAATATTTTTTAATGACAGACATGTGGATCGTCCTAATATTAGCTGCGGTACGGTAAACAAAATGAATAGAATATTTGCAGATGGAATGAATATGGTGCAGTATCAAAACTAATTTTAAAAAATAACCCGTTACAAAGAAGAAGAGGAAATGATAAAATCATTTTAGATTATTTCAGAAATAACCCTAATGCCAGTTTAAGGAATGCCGGTTTATATTTGAATGTGCCTCGAGAGAGTATTCTGCGATGTATTAAGGTAAATAATACCTTTCGAACCAAAATTCTTACACACATTACAAGAAGGCGACGAAGCAAAACGTTTAGAATATTGTTTATGGGCCAAGGGGAATATTTAAACAATATAAATTTTCTAAAAAACGTGTTGTTTATCGACGAAGCCACTTTCACCACAAATGGAGTAGTCTCATCACAGAAGTGTCGCTATTGGACAGCAGATAATCCCCATTGGATAATAAACTGTAAAAACCAGTATTCTCAAAAAATCAATGTCTGGTGTGGTATACCGAACGAGCGAGTTATTGGCCCTTTCTTTTTTGAAGAAAATTTGAACTCACAGAACTTTGTAGAATTTGTAAACACCGAATTTGTGGGATGCTATTCATGAGCTCCCAATTAATGAACGATTAAATTTGTATATCCAGTTAGAAGGGTGTTCCATTCATTACGCCAGAACCGTGAAGCAATGGCTAAATGAAAATTTTCCGAACAGTTGGATAGGCCGGGGTAGTCCGTTGATAGATTGGCCACCCAGATCTCCAGATCTCACAATTTTAGACTTCTTTCTCTGGGGAGTTATCAAGCAAAACCCGTTTAGTTACCGTGCAAGAATTCGACAGGCATGTGCAGAAATTACTCCCCAACAACTAAGAAATGTAATTAGAAATATTCATAAACGCTACGACAAATGTATCCAATTAGATGGTGGATTGGTAGAGGCAACTAGGATTTAAACTAAAATTATGTTTCCATGTTTCTGTTAATACAGAGTGTTTTTTTAACGTTAATACTTTTTCTTAATGAGTTTTAAAATTTTAAGTTGTCATAAGTTTGTTATTAATAAATATATCTTAATGAAATTGTTGTCATAGCTATTTAAAGCCACTTTAAATCTAGTGGCGTAGAAATTTTTTTAATAAAAAAATCGTTTATACAAATTCTCCATTTTCGACAAAGAAAAAGTATCGTAGAATGACCTGAAAATTTAACTAAATATTTCATATTTTGTCCCGCAATAGACCTTTTATTACATGGCATTAAAAAAAATTTGGTTAAAATCGGTTATCAATTTTATAGAGGTGTTTCCAATCTAAATGGGTCACACTGTATTTTAGTATATCAAACTTATTTTTAAATACTAAAAACACATCTAACTATATACGTAAAATTATGCTTTAATCACTTTACTTACGCAGGAAGTGCTATGAATTTTAACTCTTTCACTCCTAACTTTTGTACAAAGAGATAAGTTTTTCCTGGGACCTGGGACGTTGACCCGGCCAGGTATCTGACAAGTTTTTTTACTTTTTTTAACCACAAGAAGTAAAACCTCTATATTTCTTATCGCAGGTGCGGTGGATTTTTCAAATTATTATCAATTTGAGGTCAAAATTGTAAAAAGTACCTTCGTGTACCAGGAAAAGTAAAGCATTTTAAACTAAATTTTAGGAAACTACCTGATAAAATACGTTTAAAGCTTTAAAATGTCGATTTATAACAGTTGTTTTACTAATTTTGTTCCACAGGAAACTGTCAACACTGCCTGGGGTGATTGCGGGGTGAATTGACTAGATCTGCGGTTACCAATACCGGTCCCAAGTTCGGATAAAATGTGGAGGGTGATTGGCAAGGTTGGCAACCTACCAATCGTAAAAACAAATACTGCTCAAAGAAACAATGTACAGCCTAGAATTGGATTAATACTATGAAGACGACTACAGCAAGAAATAAGGACAAGCGAAAAACATCCAAAACCCAGATGAGAATTACTACTTAGAGTATCAGATAACTCAACTCAAGGGACCAAGAAATAATCCAAGTGCTGAAAGAGAAAGAAATAGACATTTGTGCTCTACAGCAAACAAAAAAGAAAGGAAAAGGTCAATCAAAATTAGGTGAATACATACTAATCTACAGTGAAGTAGCAAAAAGGTGTAGCCTTACTAATATACCAAAGGTATCAAAATCACACCAAGGAGTGCCAATATATATCAGAAAGAATAGTAATAGCACAGATAAAAATTGAGAAGGAAGACCTGAACATCATCTGAGTATTCGGCCTAGAAAATAACAAGCCTCAAACAACAAGGGAAGCATGTTATGACCAATTACAATAATTAGTAGATCAAATCAGAGGAAAGATGATAAATTGAGGGATTTTAACGCTCAAATAGGCAATCAAGTAATACCCGGCATTAAACAAAAACATAACGAGAATGTTAAAAA